CTATAAACGTAACACGCAAGTGTGACACCTCATGAACACCAAGGAAGGAAGAGCCCAATGAAGGGTACGAAAAGGGCACCCTGTTCTATGCCCACTGGCTCTCCGAATTCATCATGCCAACAATTTACAGCAAGTTTTACGCACCTCTCGAAAACAAATTTGAGCATTGAGTGCATCTCGTCTTGTGGACCCATGTCGCGGTAGTAATATCCAGGGTCCAAGGGTGAGCTAGCAGGGCCTCAAATACAACAGTCGTGGCAATATCACGATTAAGTATACGTGGCAAGGGAAATAAAAACTTTCTTCGACCGCTGCGACTGCTGCATTTTCCATTCATTCGCTGCATACGTGGTGTCTACGCCCTCTCCACTCGACGTGCTCCGTGCATATTTCCACTCCCGGCCGAACCCCACAAGAAAAGGAGTCTCCAATCCTATCATTCGCTGTGGTTCCTTTTGCTTTTCTCCTCATTGGCGGTCCTAATCACACCTCGAGTTTTTTTCAAATCCCCCATAATTTTTGGGAAATGCGAAGAAAGTCGAGCGATTCTCAAATCGGTATCCACCAACGTAATAAAAAAGCTGCCTGCCGCTGTAGTGGAACAGTTTGGGAGAATAGGGCATCGACTTGAGCACTGCAGCCCCTTTTGTTTTGGTGTGAAATTCACAGTACGCATTCGAACAACTCCCCGACTGTGAATGAAAATCATCGCGTGGCGCGCTCCAACGATTATTCATCACCAACCACTTCATCAACTTTGGTTTTTCCTCTATCAGCATAACTTAAACATGAATTTTTTATCACAAGAATGCTGAGTTGTGGGCAAAACTTTCGCCCAGCCGGGATTCGTACCCGGATCTCTTGCTTTCCGGGCAATTGTGCTACCAGTTACACCACCGGGGCACCATTTCACCCCAACTCAGCTTCGATGGTGAAGTTACCATAGCTTATCTTCATCACACGCATAACGTGATGCACCGGTTATCCGCAGTAAACCGCAGAGCATAAAGATTCATGGGTTTCACCGTTTTTGAATTTTTTTGGGTAAATCACTGAAATGACCTCCAATCCAATAAAAATAAACTTTTTTTTACAAAATGTTCCTGTTTTCAGTGGGATATTCACTGTGAGCGACGGTACCTGGAACGGCGGAGTACCTCAATTCAAATGTTTGGCGTAATGATTGGATCGCTCAGTTCGGGTCAAATTAGTTCCTCATTCGGCAGGAAAAAGGTATGTTGGCAGCTTCAGGGTTCATAATTGACGTTGCCCAACAATAAAATCATCCTCTGCCATTGCAGCCGATGGTAATTTGCTTGGCAATGACCGGCTTACTTAGCCTGGCCACATACTTCGTCAATGATCTCGTTCAATTCACTATTATTCGATTCGTTCTCGGCATTTTCACAGGAGGTCATTCAACGTTAGTTTCTTTATCATTTAGCATCGCGCTTGAATGAAAGCCTGAATACGGAGGGGCCATCGATTACGGTGACATGATAAAGTCATCCAGAAAATCTATGCATATAAATAAGAATTGGAAAACACAACCACATAAATCGAAGGTCAGGAAACACCGAAGAGGATAACTCCTGGAAGTGGCCGACGTTCTCATCGACAAAGGGGCAAAGTAGTCCGGGCAACTCATTCACCGCGGTGTGGTAACAGCGGATTCATCTAGTCAGGCTTTTAGGATCTGGGCCTCTCTAGCTCGTGGGCTTTCCCCTTAAGAGAGTTTCTAATGCTCTAGAACCTGCAGCCGAATTTGTCCCGGCATGCAGCGGATCTTGTTACCGTAATTAGTGGCCACCCTGGAGTGAATCAAAGGCGGTATCAATTCGCTTCCAAGTGTCTGTTCCTTCCTAAAATGATTATTAGTTTTGCGGAACGATTTCCCATCAAGTGAAACAAAACTTGCTCTGTTGTTTAGAGCCATGGCAATAAATTACATAGATGCGTCAGTT